TAAAAAAATAAAAATCGTACTACGTTTTAAAATAAAACTTGTATTAACTTGTTTTGTAATTGCTTAAATAAACATATAAATCTAGACATGAGGAATAAAATTCCTTATTTATCAAATTATTGCATGTGAATATCTGTTGACACATTTATTTGTATTAGTGTGCACATTCGTTTGCTATCCAATTTTTTTAATTTTAATTACACCTAATTTATTCAGTTATAAGATTTAAACTGGGTGTTTACGATTTTTGTAACAATTTACTTTCTGACAATTTGGCTGCAGTAACAGGCAGACTTTAGTATTTACTTTTTTACTAATAAAATGTTTTTTTGTATTTGTTTGTATTGTTCTACGTATATTACATATTTAAGTTTTTATTATTGTAAATTAAGCTCCTCTGTATGAATTTATGCAAAATCAGAAAAAATTCAAATCAAATACATCAGTATAATAAATACAAACAACTGCAAAACAAAATGTGCTAAGAAAAACACCTCGTTTTCGATAAATAAAAAATAATAAAACCATACAAATTGTTTTTGTAAAACCTCGAAGATTCTTAAAATATTCAAAGTTTGCAAAACCTACAGGAACTTAGCTAACATTTGTTGGAATTACAACAGTCGTTGTGGAAAACAGCTTGCTTTTGATAAACAAATACAATAACAATAACACTGCCTCAATCGAAAAAGACAATAACTTACTTTAAATTAAAAAACCTAAATAAAACAATACAAATTTGTTGTAAAAATTGACAATTCTTATTATGTTAAAACTTAAACAAATTTAACACAAACCAAATAAACAAATGCTCTAATAAATGTATATCAAGACTTTGTACAGGATTGTAAAAGACGTTATGATTGATATTAAAAATGTACAATACAAATAAAGTGAAATACAAAATATTCAAAATATTTGATTTTATTATTTATATACCTTAATGTTTATACAATTATTTTTCTCGCATTTTAGAACCTTGATGGTACAATAATTAAAAATATGTTATTAAATTTGCATTTATTACTTATTACAAATACGAACATGATACTACTACTTTTTCCTAAACATCTTGAAAAAATAAACAAAAAATTACAAATAAAATCTTTACTGATTTATGATACATGAATTTCCTGAAACATTGATTTTAAATTAGTAGGATCTGATTATTATATTTTGTGCTGTAGCCACTAATTACAGTAGGCATAGTGGGGATGGGGAGGTCACAGGTTTACTGGAATTATTATATTTGAGAAAGCTAAAATCACTTTCGAATAAACGCTTCGATGCGAATCAGTAACTAGTATTTTCAAGCCAGTAAAGTCCAAACAAAGTACATTGTAAACCAGCAAAGTTAGAAAGTATTAAAATGAGGTGCTGTATTTGCAAATAAGCATTTTGTTGACTTGTGACCTCTCTGTGCTATCTATGGTTTGATTCCATTATGCCTATACTCCACAGTACTAGTCCTCCAGGATAAAATCACTTTAAAATTAATGAATCGATGCTTATAAAACGTTTATAAAAAAAATGTATTGAAAGTAAAGGATTTGTACCTCATAAAGTCCGTGTCTAATATGCCCCACCGCCTCTACGACGGATTTTGTTTTTGTGAATTCAATAACTGGTTAGTATACATCAAATCCATAGGTAATTAGTACTACAAGACTTCAAACGTTGTTGGTATGCTTTAAATCAGAGATAGATGAATTTTAAATATGTTTGTCTAAGAATAATGAATAAAACCATATTTTATATTTGGTATATTAATTTTATGAATCCATGTTTCATTATATTTTAAATACCATTTTTAAGAAAATAAATCCTGTGGGGGAGTGTAGAATTATTGAAATTTTGATTTGAGGATATTGGTGTATGGGGATATGCCTGCTAAACATTCTATTACAGTTTTGACTTAATTCGACAGTTTTTTATTGAGTTATAGAAAGTTAAAGTTGAAAGTTGCAAAACCGCCAATTCTTTTTGTAGGTTATTTCGGTTCTGGGGTTCAAGAAGTTGACTTTTTTTACTTTTGAACCACCAAAGTTACAAAATCACATATAATTTTGTAGATAAAAATAAACACACATCATAGGAATACCAGTTCGGTATCGATGCTAAAAAACAGCTTTGTAAATAAACTAACAACGTTGCTATAACGCTGAATGTATCCTTGGGCAAAATATCACCTAAAAATTATTCACAGAAAATTGAAACACAGAAAAAATTAACCCCACAAATACCGTCCCCGAGCTCCTAAAATGATTACTTAAGTATTACTGACAAAGTGATCAACTCACAGATATTGAAAATATTGTCATCATATTGTTAATTACCATACATGGGTGTCTATCGAATCTAACCTAATATTAAAAAATAATTTTCAATCAAATAATAATTGTCATTAGTTACAAAGATTTTATCGATACTTGTATATGTATCTGTAAACACTGGACCTTATTTCTCTCTATTTTTGCCTTACTTTATCAAATGATGATATTCTTAACCTTTCTTACACATCAGCCCAAAATTAATTTTTTAATAAAAATTATATATAGATGTTTTAATTTTTGTTGTGGTTTGGTTAAACTTAAAATTTACTACCGCCAAAATTAGTTTTCAGATTTTTTTCCCCTTAAGGAAAAAAGTTTGACCAAAGTCAAATAATGTCCAATTCAGGGTAATGATTTCATCGTGAACCACTGAATATTTCATAGGGTTTAATAAGAATGTGATCTCAACTGTTCATATTATTGTTTTTTACCCCTCACACTTAAAAAGTCAGTCTTAGGTTTACACTTTAATTTTAATAAGGGTTAAACGTTGTATACATAAAAACGATTTGTTTGTTAAACAAGTGTTTTGTGCTATAATCATATATTATATATAACAATTCACACCGTATGCATAGGTACTTGTTGTGTTATTATTCTGAATCACATAAAAACATGTTGTTGCAAACTCAATAGTATCACCATACATTTTTCAGTACTCATATAATTTATATATATACATAAGTTATATTCCGCTTCAGATTAATGTAAACAAAATGAATCCCAGAAATAACGTCACCGAGCTACTAAAATGGTTACTTAAGTATTACTGACAAAGTGATTCACACTGTATGCATTGGTGCTTGTTGGTTTATTATTCTGAGTCACACAAAAACATGTTGATGCAAACTCAGTTATATTCCGCTTTAGATTAATGTAAATATCGAATGTTGCTTGTGTAAATAAATTCGCATAAACAATTTTGAAAAACATTTCTAGATTTTATTTTTTTGGACGACATAATAAAGACCATTCGGCAAGTCGTAAGTAAACCTTTGCAGCAGCCGGTTTGACTATCGTTGCAGTTCTTTAAGTAAGTAATACTACCAAAATGTCAAAAATGGTAAAACTGTAAACTTTTAATATGTTTTAATAAATTTTAATTATTTTTCCGCATTAGACCTTCGATAACATTTAATCATCTATTCCAAGTAATACTATCAGACTTCAAAAGCTGTAAGTACGCTTTCAAACAGAAATAGATGAATTTTAAACACGTTTATCTAATAATAATATACAAAATTATAATTTATTCTTGTTATATTAAACATATAAATCCAAATTTCTTTAAATTTTTTTATTTTAAATCAGTTTTAAAACTAAATACCATTTTTTTAAAAATTAAATCCTGCAGGGAGTGCAGAATTATTTAAATTTGGATTTAAGGATATCTGAGAATAGGGACATGCCTGATAAACATTCTATTAAAATGTTGTCCTAATTCGATAGTTTTCTGCTATTTTATAGAAAGCTAATGTCAAAAGTTGAAAAACTAATAATTTTTTTTTTAGATTTTTATCGATTCTGTGCGTAATTAAGTAAATTTTTTCTACTATTGAACCAATCACATATAATTTCGAGTATCTTATAAAAATCGGGCCATAGAATAACATATTATCGTGATTACAGTTAAAAAAACACACACCATAGGAATACTAGCTCGGCATCGGTGCTAAAAAACTGTTTTGTAAATTAATTAACAACATTGCGCTGCAATATATGTTTTTATTTTACTGCATTGCCGAAATATGGCTAAACAAAATGTACTTAGAAGTTGAATATAGTTGTAATTTTAAATTAAAAAAACTATTTTTTCGTAGTTTTTTGATAGTTAGTTTATGATAAATTGTTTGAATAGATATAATAATTGTCGTTTAAATACAAACATAATATGTATCTATATTTTAAATTTGTGTCCATGATGCAAAATTTATGATTTTATATTTTTAAAATACATTTCAAAGTTCAAGCTTTATTTTTACCTCATATTTTTAATTTATTATAAGGTTTACTTGTTGGTCCAACGAGGTAGACATTTATCCGAGGTGTGCTAAACGTCTCACCTAACCACTACGATTTCGTGGGGCTATGTCGCGATTTCTTATCATTGACTGTCCCGTATTGTAATGTATAGTAATTGGTAAAAACATATCGCTAATATCTTATTTCTTATCTCTCCTATCTAATCGGATAAATCAGCTGATTTTTTCGTTATGATAACCGGAGTCGATTGTAAATGGTGTCGATTTTTCCGTGTATATGCTAAGACAAAAAAATGTCAATATCCCACTCAAGTAATTGAAATTAACTCAAATAATCCTAAAAGACATGAATTAGATAAATAAAAAAAAACTATTTTTCGGTTAGGTTAAGTTATCTCTAGTCAAAAATCATAAAATATGTATAAAACAAATTTTAAAACCAAAACTTTCTCATCTCGACTACTCCGGAAGACCCGAGCCTTATATAAATTGCATTTATATTTATTAATTTTTCTAGATAAAAATGAAAATTTCCTATGTTTTAATATCATTAATCTGCGTAAATGTTTTGGCAGATACAAGTATAAGTAAGTATTTTTTTTATACTTAAGCACACAATGTAGATGAAAATCTAAAAAAAATTAATATTTAACTATTCTTTACAGTGGAATATATAGAGACGGTTGAAATTTCAAGTGAGTTATATTTTATAATCATATAGACTAACTTTGAGAGTTTTTAAATTTCACTAACTTTACACATACCTATTTTTTTAAAAACATTTACTACAGACATACAAATCAAGAAAGCTTCTGACTATAAAGATGATCATATAAAAAGTAAGATAATAATCAATGTACTAATATATAATTGTATTACAATGATTGCCTAGGTGTCAAATTACTTGTAAATAAAATATAAATTTATTTTTATATTTAAGAGGATGCCGCCCATGCAATTTTTTGTTATAATAAAACGAGTTTGGCTTTCATGATACAGCGCCTCCAAAAATTGTCGTAAAAAAAAGTTACCTTTATCACCTGAAAGTTATGAAACTTAACATTGTCTTTAATTTAAGATTTTGTAAAAAATTGCCAGCACAAAACTTTTTAATACATGGGCGGAGTGGCATCTTCAAAATGTGGTAGTTTTATATTTTTGATTGGATCTGTGCACTGTCGCATGGTGGCACGAGCCTTTACTAAAAATTACTATAATTTACTAAGAGCACACTTGACTCTAAAAATTGATTATTTACTTAACAGGGGTAATTTTTTCTAATGATTTTTTTTTTATTAATTTTAATTTTATTTGGAACTTTTCTAAAGGTCGAACTTGTATTTGATTGTTTTAGATGGATTGGAGCATGTACTTACAGTCATGATAGATAAAGATTACTATGGAACGCGTAATAATAATTATGTGATATTAAAATTCTTGTTTAAAGAAGAAATGTACCTATAGAAATGTGTACAGTTAACAACAAAAATATATCTTTGACCCTTTCACTGCCATTGTGCTTTACCCACTGCTACATGTCACAACTATCGCCATACTGAAAAAGGTTTCGTAATTAATTGATTGATTGTAGAATAGTAGCACGTCTAGGACAGTGAAAGGGTTAAGGCTAATGTTCAGTGATAATAGTCTTATTCTACTCCCCCCATGTGATTCAATACCGCCATTGTCATTTCATAAGATTTCAAACTAACTTAATATTATAGAGCTAGCCATTTTATTTAGAATTTCTAACACACATATTATTTTTTCTTAGCTTTTCTACCCTAGATTATGATAGAATAGAGTATTAAATTCATTACAACAATTTTTTTATTGCTTTTTTCAGAATATTTAAATCAAATGTTCATTGTACCGGGTAATACTTTTTTTAACATATTTTCACACAGTCGCTTGATAATCAAAAAGTATATACATTTTTCGCTTTAATTTCAGAACATGCAGATACTAAAACCTATGACTCTCTAGAACGTAATCAATTAACACTTTAATATAATACAAAGAATTATATATTGTAAAATATTGGTTTTATTTTCAAATTTAGATTCCATAATGACAGAAAAATATAAATTGCAACAGGATATTTTTAGCATAATAGGTGATTATAAAATTATCAGTTTTTTAATAAACAACTTTCTAAGGCCAATAAGCCCCTTAAAACGTAAATGTAAACAAAAACTACAAAAATATTAGATTGTTACATATCTTAGGTTTTTCAAACACATCTTTAACGATTTCGAAGTGTACTGAATATAATTAGGTTCATCAAGGAATAATAGGTCACAAGAAATTTTGTAAAAGAGAGAATTAATACACATAACAAATTTGATTATTATTAAATTCATTGTGAAGAAAGTATTATTTCAAACGTTACTACTTGCTAGAGATTAATTTTATGATAATAAAACATTTTGCATTGACTTATTAGTCAAAGTAATTTTATTTTTCGAATGACTGTTATAAATTAATATAACAACTGGGTTTACGTAGCTGTATTATATTCTTGTTTCAGGTATCCGTGCCGATAAACCCAAAAGTAATTACAAAGTTATTCAACAGTTATTTAATATTAATACTATGTTTAGCATTGATTAATTGAAACTGTTATGGATAAATAAACAAACCGAGTTTAAATAACTAAATTATTTTTACAGGTATTCCGGCGGCTAATGATGAAAAACAAAGTATTTACAAAGTTATTCATTAGTAGTATAAAGAACTTATGATTTGATTGAACGATCAAATTTTCTTTCCACATTATTTTTTTACACATTATTGACAATTATGTAAATTTTAAAAGCACATAATTTATTGTTTGGTCAAAGTTATCTCCTTTTTTAGTAACTGTTATGGATCAATGTAATAAAAGGGTTTAAAACGGTATTTTTTTAAAATGTATGTTACAGAAATTCCTATGCCTGCTGATACAACTAAAAGTAATTACAAAGTTAATTACAAAAAATTTAGTAAAGTTTAGTTGGGGAGACTTACTGTTATAATAATTTTAACAACTATTATATTTAGAGTAATTTTTGGAACAGCGTTTATCAATTTTTAACATTTTGCCACAAAATACCATTTTTAACGTAATAGATTGTTGACGTTTTATGTTAGCAAATACTTATGACTCGACAGACAAATTACGATACTAGTTCTTGTTGTTTGATATACTACCAAGAGCTGGTTGAATCATAGTACTCATAGCACTAATAACGCTTCATTTATCATTGTACTCTACGCTAATAATTGACATTGGAAACCCCTCACATCTTACCTTTCCGATAGGAAAGAATGCACTAAAGCGAACAGAGCGGTTTCTGAACCTTCTACTATCTCCTCAAGCGTCTATCAATGGGACCACCTTAGTCCTCTTTATTTTGTTAGCTCATTAGAGGGACTTTTGCAAAAACAAGAAGTTCTTTTTTTTTGCAGACGACATGATATATATTTTCATTAGTATTGCTTTTTCCGCGGATTATTGAAACCTACAAGCTGAAGTTATTTGATTTCTTGACTGGGCTCATCTCCTTGGTTATTATGAAAATTTTTAGGAGCTATAATTCTCTTCTACGTGGTTTATGTGCTTCGTAGTACATACCTTCGCTATATTTTGTGTATAAATGCTGTAGCTATCAGGACCTTAAGAGCCATCGGCTTAATGCTAATACTATAATTTGAACTATACTGTATAGTTTTTTGTTCATTGTTTAAGATATTATTGTTTGACTGATTATTGCACTTCTATATTGTACTTTGTATGCGATATTTTTGTACATTTGTGAAAAAAATGCGTATTAGTGATTTAAATATCAAAATAAAACATAAATACGATTATATTATTAAATACTGTATTATAAACCAGTTTATATATAAATTTGTGCAGGTGATGGAATTTCGAAATGTACCACATTTAATAATGCGAGAAAAATTGTTACGAGAAAAATTTGTTGTAAATATAAACATACAATTTTAAAGTATTACTTTTTACATAATCAATTTATTTGTACTATATTGATAATTTGTGGGTTTTTTTTAGAGATAATTAAATTTTTTTGTGTAACAGTAATACACGTATATTTTAATTTATTTCTTGAGCGGAGGGGGCCTTATCGACTTAATATCAACACTATATTTGGCATTGATTAATTGAACCTGAGATGAATAAATACAATAGACCGGGTTTAGTTAACTAAAAAATGTTTTAATATTTGTTTTACAGGTACTCCTGCGCATGCTGATGAAAACAAAAGCATTTACAAAGATGATAGTAAATATATAGTATTGCTTGTTTAAAAGATACAATTTGCTTATCAATTTCTTTTGTTCACACAATAATAACTAAAAAGTTAAATTTTAGTTGGGAGCCTTAATAACCTTTTACCACTATTATATTTCGGGTATTATTTTGAACGGCGTGTATCAATTTCTAAGAATACACTTATGCTCAAGAAGCGGTTTCTGATCCTTCTATTACGACATCAACATTTTTTTAGTATTGTATCAGTGGATGGTTGCCTACTACATATTGAACTTAGGTTTTTTCTGTATTTGGCTCATCTCCATGGTCTGACACTGTATGTTGAAAAATGTCATATTTTGTCATTTTCCTGGAACCGTATTCCGCTACTGCACGACTTCTTTCTTCATGGTATTCAACTCCATCGAGTTTTTTCTATTAATGATCTTAACACCTTATGTACGCTTTCTCTACATTTTAGAGATCACTTAAACGCGGTAGCTAAAAAGGCTTTAAAAGACATAGGTTTTGTGTTAATATTATATTTTGCATTCATTAATTGGTCAAATGATTCTCATTTTTAGAGTTACTGCTATGGATACATACAACATCACGGTTTGACTAACTATATAATTTATTTGTTACAGAAAATGATGTTACAGGTAGTACTATGCATGATGATGAATACAAGCGAATTTACTATGCTACTAGTTAGTATTAATCAGAACTTATGACTTATTTGAAAGATAAAATTTGCTTTATATATTATTATATTGTTCACATAACAATTTACTATAAGTTGGGGAGACTTGTTTTAAGGGTTCTAGAATGAAATAGTAATTTTTGCAACCTTACCAAACTTAGAACCAGATAAAAATTGAAAGAATACATAATACATTTTGAGCATACGCGCCTTTTTGCTAAAATCTTATCTCTATTTTATTTGTTCACCCCTTCTAGGTTCCATCAATTTTAGGCTTCATCCTGATATTCCAGTTATCAAATTTTTGTTCGTTCCTTCCCTCTGTTTGTACTTATTAGGACATTAAATATTAAAAATAAAACACATAATTATGAATATATTAATCTTTTTGAACCAGTTATTAATATAAACATTTATGTAGGTGCCGAAACTAATAATTACCATAATTGTTTGCGTTCCTTCCCACTCTGTTTTTACTTATTAGGGTGTTAAATTAAAAAAATCAAAATACATACGAATATATTAATAAATATTATATTTTCAAACCAGTTATTTATACACTTATGCAGATACTGAAACTATAAAATTGACCGAACTTGGAAAGGCGAGAAGAGGTCTTACTGGAGATGCTATTATAAATGTGCTTACCAAAAAATTAGGTGATTATAAATTAAAGATTTAATATTATTTATTTTTTTAATAACATTTATTTTTACAGCATGATTCATTTTCAATAACACAGTATTTTATAGACTACTTAACACAACTTAAACAAAATTTAATATTTTGTTTCTTTATAATTTTTACAAATATACTTAATATTTATTATACAATTTTTAATTTCAGCTCTTTTTTTTCTAATCGTGTTTATAGTGACCCCTGTTTAAAATGTTCACATGTAAAACTTAGGAATATAGTGGCTTATAAGTTAAATTTGGTTATTTTTAACAACTGCTTTTTGATTTTTTAGCTGAAATCAACAAGATGAAACTTGACAAGGAGAAATCTGCTAATAGGATTTGTACTTTGATAGCAATGTGGGTTAGTCTTAAAATTTCTTCAAACACGTATTATTCTATAAATCCATATGATGATGTATGTAATGTAGTAATAAAAAGGGGTCAAGACAGACCTGTTGTAAAATACAGATCACTTGAAGGCGAATATTGGCAAGTAAATGCCTCTAAACAAAAAAAACTAAATGTACAACTACGCGAGGATATCAGTACTCCGCTTGAGTTAAGTAGCGAATAATACTAGATATCAATCGTTTATTTATTTTAAAATTATATTTAAATAAATAAATAAAGTTTGCATATTGCACTAAATTAGTTTATTTGATATATGCTTATTTATTGTTATTATTATGTAGTTTCATTATCATTAGTATTCCCATTATTATCATTATAATTATCAGCCGATTGTCATATGTAAAATAAAATAAATAAATTATAAAATAAACGCGTTTGTTCACGATTTTAAACACATTTGTTGCGAATTATTATTGATATTATGGCGATCAACCTGATCGTGTCTACCCTAATACAACAAAATATTTTTAAGCACATAATTGTCATTAGGTACAATGTTTTTGTTGATATTTGTATATTGACATATGTATTTTTAGCTTCGATGCAAAGCGAGAAGGTATTGGTTTTACTCTGATGTGTGTTTTTTTTTTATCCGTATACACTGTAACTTTTGTAATACTGGACCAATTCCTTCGAGTAGCAACTCTATAAATCTCAAATTTCATCTAGTTGGTACTTGAGGGGGGGGGGGGGGGTAAAAGTTGAAAAAGTTAAATTCTTCACAGACGAAAGTTGAAAAAACAAAAAAAAAACCGTACGAGTTTTTTAGTTAGAACTTTTACTGGCTATAATTTCGAGAAAAAGAGTCGGATCGAGTTGAAATGTATAAGAAATAATTATTTGGTATGCCCGCACACGTCAATTGTGTCAAACTTAAACTATACCCATTTCCCACCCGCCTAGGGGGGGTACAATTTTTTTTGTTTTTCCGGGTTTTTAG